AGATGCATTCTGAAAAAATATTAAGATGCTTTGGGGTTTCCAAAATTTCATGTGCTCAATACGGATTCTGAGTACAGCCCTGGTCAGTCTTCCTTGATTTCAATAGCTGTTGACATCAACAGAAGAAAGCCAAAAAGCAGGCACACAAGGAGAGAATTCAAGGTCAAAGCTGAGTTCCTTACATCCCCTCCTTTCATGGGTCTGTAGTTCATGGCACTGTAAAGGATGAATCACTGCAGTCCAAACAGAAGAATGTTATAATAAATCTAGTCTGAAGTTCACAGGAAGCACTTATTACTGTAAACCAGTGACAGTGACGACAGTGATGATGGCCTCTGTCTGTCTTTACAGAAACATCTCCAGGAAACTCCAAGGTGCACAGTGGAGAAGTACAGGAACAGAGAAACTGTGTGAAGTCTGTTGGTCTGTTCTCTGGTTCAGTGAGGAACTGAACTGAATCATTCTAAAGGTGTGAGTGTCTGTGCTATTTTTAAGGAACCCTGGGAAGTGTGGTCGCACCACCTTGGGCTCCTAATATAACACTCATTTCTATTTGTGGGATGGTTAACACCATCTTCCATTTGGTCTTTCCTCCATTAATATGCCATCCTTCACAGAAGACCTCCTGTCTAAACATTTAATTATTTTTTTAAGCTCCAGATGTGTAATGTGTGCCCTCCCAGACCCTAAAATGGCAGGGACAGCAAAGTCTGGGCCCCGACAGCAAAGTCTAGGCCCCTCCTTTACCGCTTTCTGCCACCAGGCCGAGTAAACATCTGGGCAGCATTCAGAAGCATGGCCATGCAGAGCCTGTGCCATCACTGGACGGGCTAGGGGTCACCGAGGATCCCTAGAAGGCAGACTCTGCGAGTCCTTCTGGCTGGAGCAACGTCTCCTAACCTACAAAGGCCCAAGCATCCATCCACTACAACGACTTTCACCATTCATTTTAGAATCTAGAGTTTCATGATCTCTTCAGAAAGGAATTCACCTAAATACGTTCAGTCACAGATGAC